TGAACTCTACAATGCAGAAAGATAGATGAGGTGCTGCTCACGTCAAAGGACCAAGACCTTTCCTTTTGAAGTGGGAATACTTGGCAGACACAACATTTCCATTGTCTCTTAACTTTGGTAGGGAGAATGGCCTGTATCATAAATGTAGAGAATTATTTAACTGATAAAGTAGTTTAGAAGTCACATCAAAAACAGGTAATCTGTTCTTAACATTCAAAAGCAGAAAGTTTCCTCCTCCTCATTTAATTTCTTTGGTTTTGGTTTTTAAAATGTGGAATCGTCCATTTCTTGCCTAAGGAAAGAGTACATTTGTTGAGAAAGCCTCAACCAAGGCCAGGATATTCATGTAATTCTCAACAATCGGGTGGGGAAGGCTGAAATCAAGATTTAGAGAAGCCACAGTTCAGAATAATTTTCTTAAGTGGTACAAATGCAGTTACCTTTTCCATGGGTATCAGGAGTGCTGATTTTTAATTAACTCTTGTGTCATCAGTTACCAGCAAAGCTCTACTCTTTGTTATGACAGTTTAGCCTACCCTATGGACATAAGGGTCTTCTGGTGTTCCACAAAAAGTATACGATCTCCAGGAGCTTGCCTGACCAGTTCTGAGATGTGGACATTCAAGTTACAATGTAAGTGAATAAGTCATAGTGTTCCGTACAACAGATAGAGCTTCAGAATACTATTTGGTCATTTGATTGGTTTCAAGAAATAGAATGCTAGTTCTATCTGCAACGTACTTGCAAACCATTTTGTGGGTGGCTCAGCCTCAAAAATCATTATTTGCCCTCCTCTTGTTGCTGTGGTTGTTGCTTTACCATGTCCACTTGTGGACTCATCTGCCCACTCAGCACAAGACAGTGGAAAGAGCAGGGACATGAGGTCCAGCCTGTCCGTGTCCCTAACGTGCTAGTGGACTAGTCATTTGTCACCTTCCCCCCCAAACTTGCTGTTCCTCTTGCACTAATGCCTCAGTGAAGGGCATCTGTGGTAGGCTGAATAATGGCCCCCAGCAATATCAGGTCCTAATCTCTGGAACCTGCAAGTGTTACTTTACTGGGGAAAAGGGTCTTTGCAGATGTGATGAAGTTAAGGATCTCTAGATGGAGAGATTATCCCGGATTATCTGGGTGGGCCCTAAATGCAATTGTAAGTGTCCTTATAAGAGAGCGGCAGAGGGAGATTTGAGTCAGATACACAGAGAAGGTGACGTGAAGATGGAGCAGACTTGAAGATGCTGGCCGTGAAGACTGGGGTGATGCAGCCACAGACCAAGGAACGACAGCAGCGACCTCATACTGTCCTCCTTCCAATCCAGCCCTCGTGCTGCCGTCAGGGGTTTTTCTAAAATGGAGATCTGACCACATTAACCTGCAGTGGAAATCCTTCTGTGGCACCCCAAACTGCTTGGCCTGGTCTGAGAGGCCCTTCACCATCTGACCCCTTGTCTTCTCTCCTCACCCGCACACCCACCTTCCCCCCATCTCACTCACGCACACACTCACTCCACCACACAATCACTTGAGTCCTGCTGAACTCTCCTGAGTTCCCCAGGTGACTAGGCTATTTTATGCTTCTGTGGCTTTTGTGTGCATTGTCACATCTGTGATACAAATAAGGTCATCTTATCTCAACCATATGCCAGCACATGCATGGCAGAAATCACTTTGTGCAGTTAGAAGATGGTCCTGTTAAGTTATAGACCAGAACTAGGATGTCCAGAGCAGCAACCTCATTTTCTCCTTCCCTCAAAAGGGCTGATGGTTGAAACTATCTCTCTAAATTTCCACATTCAAACATATTTATATTCCAAATCATGTTTTTCAATACCATTAAAAATGTCCATCAATAAAAATATAATATTGCAACATAAATGGCTATTAGAATTATCTAATATAAAATCCCAACCTAAACGGTTATGTGGAATATTATGCAGCTGTAAAGAACAGAGAGCTCTATATGTATTTACACAATTCCTAAGATAAAAAATTGAAAAAAATAAGTTGTAGAAAACCATGAATAGTTTGCTACCATTTCCATTCACAAAACACATTTGCACATGCACAGACAGCCTCTGACAGAATACGAAAGGTAGGGGGCTTCTTCAGAGGGGAACGGGTTCAGGGACAGGGAAGACAGGCAGACTTCTCCATTGAACCTCCCCTTGTAACTCGTGCACGTGTGGCCTATTAAAATTTAACACATTTTTCTCAATTCAAGGACTTACAGGGTTGTACTCTGGCCATTAACATAATGAAAGCTGCTGGGTTAATTTTTCTCTTGAGCTCTTGGATAACCATTAAAAGTCAGATAAAAATAACTTTTTTGTTTTGGAGCTGTATCCTCAAGGTTAATTATTACTACTGCAGCTATTATGTAAAGGTGATTTGCTGCAGTTCACATTAACGTTATTTTGTGTTCCTTACATATGTTCCAACGGAGAGCAGGTCAGGCAGGAAATTAACCTGGCCTTAAAATGTGCTCATGGGTAATCCAGGCAGTTTACTCAGAGTTGACTGTGGGTCAATGGAAATTTACCAGGGAATTGTCATTATCTACCAAAACCACTCTCTCCAAGGGACTGCCCCCTGGCTGCATTTCAGCCCTCCTCGCTGTAAAAGTGGAAGGCACCCAGGCATATTTATTCACATCTCAAGTGCCACTACTTTTCTCCCACTCTCAGTTGAAAAGATCTACATCCAGCTTTTGATCTACTTAACGTATTTTCAGGTTGGCTGTGTTAAAAAATTACAAACATAAAAATTATGAATGAACAATAATTCCTAAGATTAAAACAAACTTACTTGTACAATAAGCTATAAACTCACCATATTTAGTTATTCTGAGCATTAAATCTTTTGACCATTTTTACAAATCAGGTGTTATGACAACATGACTTTGTTTTTACATGTATTACATGAAATAATATTTAAGAATTAAATTCCCCTAGGATTATAAAAAACCTTTTAGAAGATGTATATGTTCCCATATTCCAATTTGATAAGTTGTCCAGATATCAAGGACATCTAAATAAAAAGAAAATCTTGGAAAGCTTAAATGCTAACATTCTTCAAAAATATCTTAGGTGAATTGTACACTAATGTTGATAGCAAATTATTCACAATAGCCAAAAGATAAATGGATAAACAAAATGTGGTCTATCCACACAACGGAATATTATTCAGCCTTAAAAATGAAAGAAATTGACAGGTGCTACAACGTAGATGAATCCTGAGGACATTACGCTAAGTGAAATAGGCCAGTCAACAGAAATACAAATATTCTATGATTCCTCTTATATGAGGTACCTGGAGTAGTCAAATTCATGGAGACAGAAAGTAGAGGGCGGGTGCCAGGGGCTGTGGGGAGGGGGATGGGGAGTGAGTGTTTAATGGGGACAGAGTCTCATTTTGGGAAGATGAAAAAGTTCTGGAAATGGATAGTGGTGAATGTACTTAATGCCATGGAACTGAACACTTAAAAATGGTTAAAATGGTAAATTTTATGTTATGTATATTTTACCACAATGTAAAAAAGGATAACAGTATTGTTAAAATTAAAAAATTATCCTAAGTGATCAAGTACACCTCTTATAGGTTTACAATGAAAATATCATTGCATTTCTTACAGGGATAATATTTTGAAAATATTCACCCACCATATTCTTGATTCCCCCGAAAATCATGTTTTTCTCCCAGGAAGCTGCAAGTTGAGAATGGATTGGACCGGCCAGCTGTGGCAAGGGGTCAAGTGATCCTGCCATACGGATACACAGAGACCTGGGATGGGTGGACACAGCTGGCTCACAGATGTGCAGGGCCAGCCCCTGCCTGGGGACCACTGGTTCCAGCCCAGGCCACGAGCCTTACCAGTCTTGGACTTGGCAGGAGACGGCCAGTAGGGTGGCCAGTGACATCTTGACAGAGGTCAGGGAGGAAGCCAGAGGACCTGCCCTTGGAACAGCTGCTGCACCCCACAGTGGCACAAACACTGTCCAGACACCCTGACACCATCTTGGGGAGAAGGCAGAGGAAGTGGACTGTAACCTTGAACTGACTAAATATTTATCCCAGAGCCTGAAGTAACCTGAAAACTTAAACTGCGTGAGATGGAAGTACAGTCGAGTCTCATTATTCACGGACATTACATTCTGTCAAGTCACCACGATCAAGGGATTAGTGAACAATGAACCACTGCTCCCGCGGACACAAAGGGTCAGGTTCCGGCGCGCCTCCGCTCACATTTTCATCAACCATCAACACACAACCTGGTTTTACGTGTGCTTCTGTTTCAAGACACCTTGTTTAATATAGGTTGTTGCTTCACTGACACTGAACTCAGCCAGCAGCACTGTAACTCGTGCTGCAGTGAGGCTCGTCTAAGGCACGATTTTCCTCCGTGAGGCACGTCCCAGCCTTTTTGCACTTAGGAACACTACACAGTACCTCAGGACTACGTTTGGGGGCCATTTTAAACAGCAAAATCACCAATGAAAAGCACAAAAATGCGACAATGCGGCACTAAATAGATGCTGACGGGAAGCCTTGTTCACAGGAGGAGAGCTGAAACAGGAGGGCAGGGCGCCGCCTCGTTCAGCCTCAGCGGGGAACGTGCGTGTCTGACGATTCAAATCTTTTGCTGCTCTGAATAAACGTGAAAGTGCTGTGAGCCCTGATCTGGGGGTTATAAATAAATTTTAACAAGTAGGCAAATTCACGAATCCAGAATCCATGAATGAGGACCGACTGTACCTTCACTTGGCATCGTAAGTATGCCAGGTCCCCCATTATCTCAGAGGATGGCAGTGTGAGATTGAGACCAAGCACAGAAAATGACGGATCTACAATTTTTTTGCATATCCAAGGCGTAGTTCTTAAGTTTTTGACTCTACCTCACCATTAATTAGAAGAATACAATGGATGCTCCATGAGGGCAAGGATTTTTATCTGTGTAGTTCATGCTGTATGTGGGCAGCAGCAGAACAGAGCAGCACATGGTAGATGCTCAGCAAGTCGGTATTTGCTGAGTGAATTAAGGAATGAAAATCACACTCAAACCAATACACAGGGATACACTAGTGTTGTATCATTGGGCTATGACAGTTACAATTCCACAATTCTTACAACTTGACATATGTGAAGGAAGAAAAAAAAACATGTCAGTTTTCCAGCTTTTTGGAGAGGTCTGGGGCAAAGGAATCAGAATTCAATAATAGAATTTTCTCGATTGAACTAAGGCTAGAGAATAGATGGTGTTAGAGTCAACTCCCTGCCTCTCTGGTACCTTCGAGCAGATAAGGAGAATTTCCTCTACAGCCACAGGGAGAAGAAAGACTCATAGCTGGTGAAGGTTGCTGATCTGTCCTGGGGAAGAAGGTGACCTCATCTGGGATGCGGAAGAGTCGGACGAAGGTCGGTTAGGTCATGATTGACATCTCCTCTCGGTCTCTGCTCTCAGACACTGAGTTGATTATGCCCTTTAAATACTTTATGAACTCTATCCGGATCTCCTCAGGGTCATCCTCAAGATTCGAGTGCACCAGCTTCAGCTTGTTCAAGGGTGGCGCTTAAAAAGGAAAACAATGTAATTAGGCATGAACTTTTAATAAGGGCCATGTTTAGCTCCAATGACCTGAGACTTATAGAAGCCATTTCGTTTAACTTTCTGAAGTCCAAAAATAAAGTTGTGTCTTGCTTGACATAATTTAACACAAGGTTTCACCACACTGCCACCTAGCGATAAGATAAGAACTCTACAAGCCACTTCCAGGTTCTCTCTGTTCTTACTACCGAAAGGAAGTGATTTCTGAATATTTTGCGTCATTTTCCATGATCATTTTGTCACCTCTGTAATGGTGTGTGTCACAAGCAAAGTGGAGTTTTTCTTGAGCAAAGGCCAGTCAGGAAGGAGTGTCCCTAACAGCACTGGTGAGTGGCCCAAACCAGGTTTTTTGCTCTCTTAGTGTCTGCCTGCTTTTAAAGTGTCTATACCCTGGCCTGGATGGCACGGCAGATCTTCCCACTTAGCATTCTGATTTCTCATTGATGGTGAGAAGACCAAATGCCTAGGTCACAGTAGGCGCTCAATAACTGCACACAGCTGCTGGTTTCAAAGGCATGCAGCAATATAAAAATGCCCAGAACATTCGAAACAAAAGCAGCAAGGAGAATTCCAGTCTCCTTACACAAGGAAAGGTTTCCTCTGTCACTCCCAGAGCCTGGCTTGTGGTGTGCAATCAGCAGACACTGAGTGTCCTGTAAGCCCTGCTGCTGGACGAAGCAGGAATGCCACCTCTCGAGCTCTCTCAGGTGGCTCGGGGTGTCGGCGTTGAAGATGATCACCACTCCGTGGGAGTCCTTCATCAGGGCCGGCCAGCAAGACTCGAACCTGCGCGGCAGGAAAGGATTCGAAGTGAACGTCAGGTGGGTTCTGGTTTCTAACTGTGGATTTTATTAATAATTGATAAATGATTTCTCACTGTATCCTAACTCAGTCACTAAAGTTTCAAGAGCAGTGCCTGTCACCACATAACTGATCAATCCCCTCATGCACGCCGGGAAGTGTGCTAGGCCAAGTCCCAGGTGCCTGGCGGGGAGCTGATTTTTGAATCATCTGATGAAGCAAACCCTCTTTAAAGGAAACGTACTTGGGATCGCCTCCACAGTCCCAGAGCTCAAATTCACAGCCTGGGCCTTTGCTGTTGCTGGTAACGTGTGGGTTCTCAAATTCCAGGATCCTACAAATGAAAACGAGAACGGCATCTCATCTATACTTTGGAAACATTATACTTGGGGAAGGTCACCAGCACCCCGAGTAGGGGAGGCAATGGACAGGGACTCTCCGGGACACAGATTTGTCAGGCCTCACCTCACTCCTTGGGTTGGGTTGTATTCGGTGATGTCAGAAGATTCTGTCAGAAAGTTGGCCAAAACGGTTTTTCCACTCTGTGAAAATGAAGATGATAAAAGATCTTTGCCGAAGAGCAGAAAAGTAAACCACAAGTGAGCACTCCAGGAGCTAGCTTGGAACAAGGCGAGATGGAGTACAGGCCAGGGCCACCCAGAGGTCACCAGGGCAGAGGACTCTCTGGCTGGTGGACCTCGCTGCCTTGCTCTACGTGGTGGGCACAGCCTGCTCGGGACCCAGGGAGCACCGGGTCCCAGCACCGGCTCTGCCACTGGGTGACTTTACCCACTGATTTCCCTGGCTGGCTCTCAGTTAACTTATCGGAGAATAACAGAAAAACATCATTAGTGTGTGTCTCTCTCCTCACTAGCTCCTCTCCACGTCTTCAAGAAACCCCAGTCTGTCACAGATATGAAGCCACTGAGGCTCAGAAAGGGGAAGGGAGTCCCTCAAGGTCACATAGAAGTTCAAAGTCAGAGCTGGGTCCCAGGTCTGGGGACACGTGGCTGGCTGTACCGCACTCTCATACTGGGCTGTTTTTCCTTCTAGATAAGACAAGTGACATACAGTCCTATAAAAATATGAACAAAACAGTCCTCCTGGCCCCTCCACCCAAAGCACCCACCTGTCCATCCATCCCATTCGCTACCCAAAGGTAACAACTATGATGTTTTTCAGATCTTTTCTATAAATTTGCATCATTCACTTAAAAAATATTGTATATTTCTGAATATTAAAAACAAGCTATTTTTTTTCTCCCCCAAAATTATTCCTCAGAAGAAAGGAAATCTCTTACACTTGAGTCCTTATAAAAATCTCTCAAATTACGCCCTGCTCCCTTAATTTCTTTTCTTTGAACAATAACTGCTTGACTAGAATGACCTCAATCAATCAAGCCATTTGGGGGCTTGTAGAGGTCACTTGACAGAATCAGAAAAAAAGGGGGGGAAGGGAGGAGCTTAACACTGCTTTAGTAATTTTTCCTGAGGATGGGGCCTCACGAATTAAATATCACTTAAAAGTAACACAGTAAGTGGTCATGTTATGAAGATCATGAGTATTTATTTATCTATAGGATGAATGAATAAAGCAAACGCCCTGATGTTATAGGAACCTTCTGGAGGCTGGAATACCTTTCCAGGACGAGGGTCACACACAGATTCAAAAAATGCTGTATCCAGGGGCAGCCCTGTGGCGCAGTGGTTAAAGTCTGCTTCAGCGGCCGGGGTTCAAGGGTTTGGATCCCAGGCACAGACCTACACCACTCGTCAGCCATGCAGTGGCAACCCACAAATAAAGTGGAAGAAGACTGGCACAGATGTTAGCTCAGGGCCAATCTTCCTCAAGCAAAAAAAACCCAAAAAAACAAAATGCTGTATCCTAAACCACTTCGATGGTGTGCTTTGTTAGGTGATTCAAAAAGTGGCTCTAGTCATTGAAGATGGCTCAGGTGTCAAGGGTGTAGGTGAGGGGCTTGAATAAAACGGTCATAAAATGCAAGAATGGAATAAAACAGCATTTCCAAATTAGTATATATCTTAATGTACATTTAAATTTGCATATAGCTACACCAATACATAAGACATTATAAAAGTTTATTTGTATGTTTCATCTTTGTCCTTAAATTTTATATACACAGGTTGGTCAAAACCAATTTATTGAGGGGGGAGGGGTTCTTATGGGAAAATGAAGAAATTTCCTGCTAGGCCCATCAGGTATTTTTAAGTGTCTACTTTGTGGCAGGTGCTGTTTGACTAAATTAGGAAAAGATGAGGGAGTGATAAGTACTAGGGTAAAAACAAAGCAGGGAAATATGACCGAGACTTTGACCTGGGTGGCCAGGGAAGGCCGGCAGATGAAGTTTAAACTGTGATTTAAATGACAATGAGACACCTGAAGCTTCCAAGCAGAAGGAATAGCTAGTTCAAAGGCAGCAGGGCAGGAATGGACACAGCGTGTTAAAGGAATAGAAAGGTTGTAAGTTAGAGGAGGAGTGACGGGAGAGGGGGGAATGTATATGCAGAAATATATCTTGCTGTTGAAGCTAGGTGATGGGTACTAGGAGTTCATAGTTCTTTCTCCTCTCGTGCATGTTTGAGAATTCCCATTTAAAAAAAGATATCTATGCTTGTTTGACTTTCCATAACTCCGTGCATCTTGTTGTTACTTGTCTATTTCACTTAATAGTTTATGTCTTGGAGGGTTCTCCATGTCAGTACACACAGATTAGCCTCACTTTAACTGCTGCAGTCTTCCAAAGTAAGAATGTACCTTAGTTTATTTAGACATTCTCTTGTTGATGGGCACCTAGGGTGTTGCCAACTCTTCAACATTGTACATGACTCAAGGGGAATATGGACAAGCATCAGCTACAGTAGATTCTGAGAAATATAACTGCTGCACTAAAAGTTAGGCACATTTTAAATTTCAATACTTTGCCAAAAAAGCTGTTCTCAATGTATAGCCCCATCTAGAGAATCCTAGAGTACTCATTTCCCTGCAAGCATCCTAATGCTGGATGTTATCAACCTCCTAAACTTTTCTCATCCAGTCTGATGGGCAAGTATCATCTTTTTGATTTAATTTGTGTTCCTATGACACGAAGCTGAGCATCTTCTTGTATTTATTGCTCATACTTTTTGTATTTCTTGTGTGCAGAGCCTCTGCTCGATTTTCTATTAAGTTGTTTCTTTTTTCTTTACTGATTCTTAAACTTTCCTGTTGTGTGTTCTACCTATTAATCTTTTCTTTGTAATGTATTTTGCAAATACTTTCCCCAGGCTTTAACTTTGCTGTCACTTCTTTTAAGGCTTCTTCATTTTTGTGTCGTGCTTAGGAAGACCTTCCGTATCTCAAGATTAAAAACATTTCTTTCCATATATTCATCTGGGCGAACAGCATCAGCAAAATGCAAGTTCTCAGGTCCCTCCCAGACCTACTGAATCGAAACTCAGGGGTAGGACCAGCAATCTGTGTTTTTAACGCGCCTTCCAGGCGATCCTGATAAGTGCTGAAGTTGGAGAATATTCATCTACTACTTCTAGAGGTTTTTTTACACGTTCGGCTTTCCTCCATCTGAATTTTATTTTTCTGTATGGTGTGAAGTACACAAGTAGATGGAACCCCCACTACCACCACCACACACACATTATTAGCTAATTGTTCCAAGACCAGGTAATAAATAGTCCAGTCTTTCCTCCTGGTTTTCTGGTCCCACAGACATACTCATCAGGACCACCTCAGACGCGAAGTGCGACCTAGGCTCTGGTCCCATAATGCCACTCACTACCTTGGGCCTTGGGCCCTTAGTGGAACCGGGTCAAGGTCTGGAGGCGCCGAGCTGACGGCGAGGCCAGCGGCGCACACCGGATGGGCGCGGCGGGACTGGGCTCCCGCCTCCCGGAGGGCTCCCGGCCCCCGGCCAGCCCCG